GACTATCTGCCTCACCCGCTCAGAGTTTGAGTTGCGCGCGCTACTAAAGAGACGTGTTACCATGGAAACCAAACAATGGTGTAGCTGTATTAAAGTCAGAGTGGAAACAGTCCTGAGTAAATCTGATTTTGTCAGAAATCGGGATAAATGCGGGAGAAATATGACCCCGGGAGGAAACCGGGAGAGGGCAATGAAATCGGGAGTCTCCCGCGAAAATCGGGAGGGTTGACAAGTATGCTTTTAATGCGCTGTATCTTCTTCCTGTGGTACCAGGCTATTGCGCTCTTTGAAGACGGCTGCAAGGCCCAGCAGGCGTGGAAGCAGTTCCACCACATGTGCTACTGGGAGCTGATGTGGTGCTACTCCTACAAGCGAGACTGGAAGATGGCGTACTTCTACGCAGACCTGCTGAGCAAGGAGAGCCGCTGGTCCAAGGTACAGAACGGGAGACAAGGGAAGATCTGAGGGAGTTTAGTGAGATGTCCTATCGATTCAAACCTCTCCAATAATCCTGAGGAAGAAGAATGAAACCAGTGTTTCTCTCCACAGGCCATGTACGTTTACATGAAAGCTGCTTACCTCAGCATGCTGCCTATAGACGAGTCCAGACCGTTCGGGGACAACGAGGTCGACCTCTTTAGGTAAAACATGCACAATAACACATCAATCGTTCCATGGCAGGCATCAGGACTAAAACCACCAGACTCTGGGACAGTTTTATTCCACAGACAATAAGACTGAACGTTTTAAAGAACATCCATAAACAGTCATCTGTTTGCATTTTGCTAATTATTTATCTAACATATCATTCCATTTACTTGTGTATAGACTCTTCTTGCACTATTTCTATTCTATTTGTATTTACTTCAAACATTCTCTTGCACTGTTTTATCAGCTGTATTTGTTCTATGTCCTATATATATTCATGTTGCTCTGTTGGAGGAGCCTGGGACTTCAGTTTTTCATTGCCATAGCTACACTGAACAAAAATATAAATGCTTTTGTTTTTGCTCCCATTTTTCATGAGATGAACTCAAAGATCTAAAACATTTTCTATATACACAAAATAACCATTTCTCTCAAATATTGTTCACAAATCTGAAAAAATGCTGATAGTGAGCACTTCTCCTTTGCCGAGATAATCCATCCCACCTCACAGGTGTGGCATATCAAGATGCTGATTAGACAGCATGATTATTGCACAGGTGTGCCTTAGGCTGGCCACAATAAAAGGCCACTCTGAAACGTGCAGTTTTGCTTTATTGGGGGGGTCTGGGGGGGTCCGAAAACCAGTCAGTATCTGGTGTGAGGGTTAGGGTTAGGGTAATGTTGTGAATCGAGTGGCCTGTGTTCATCGTCCATAACATACGCCT